TTTTATAGTCGCGCTGCACGCGCCTAACTCTGAGTCAAACAACTCAGAGTTGATTAAACAAACTCTTTTCAGCTGTTCTGAAACAGAAAACTCCAAGTTTTCCAACTCTGGGTAAGTCAACTCAGAGTTCAGGTTTGAACTCTGAATATGTTAAACCTCCTTCTTGAAACGGGCCCCAGGTTTCAGTGGGTTTCTTAGAAAAAACAAACTTCTGGTTTTCCAGTTTCAGGGTCTCTTAGCAGAACTAAAACAGAATGAACACTGTGTGTGTGTTACCTGTACAGGTGGTGTGGATGTGATCAGTGACCCATTCCTACTGTAGGTGAACACAGTGAAGTCTGCAGGAAGCAGCAGCCTGAAAACAACAACATGTTTGTAAAGTGTTTATGTATTTTAACATCATGTAAACACCGTCACTGACAGGTCATGTAAAGGTGTGAAAGTGGCTCAGGTGTGTGTGCTGCGCCGACACATTACAGGATGGTCCACACTTTAAAACACCAACATTTCAACACTCTACAGCGGAGGCCTTAAACTGAGACAAAAGGAGGCACAAACAAACATTCAGTTAATGCCAGCATCTGATCTTAGTTCTTATTAACTCGTGTTCAACAGCCGTCACATCTGGTATCATCTGTTATTCTTACTGGCATCATTATTATTAGACTAAGTCATTAAATATTATTATAGGTGACAAGCCAACACATAGGCTGCTGCATTATAAGTGCAGTCCTGTATAAAATGACTCTACAACCCCAAATCAGAAGAAGTTGTCGTTTCATTGCTTTACCTCACTACTGGCCCTGAAATGCAGCCGGCGCAACATGCATCAGGACTGAAGTGCGTGTTTACTTTGAACAAAGAATAAAACTGATGAGGTATCACATCAAATAATGTGCTGCTGTATTTTCACTGTGACGAAGGACACATACAGTTTACACATCACTGTTTTCAGTTTTAATTTTGAGTTTACATACTGTCCCTTCTGATTTGGGGTTGCAGCATAAACTTCGTCTACCGTCCCTCAGAGCGGCATCGCCGTTATCATGGAGCTTCCCGGTTTAAACGCTGACATTTATCAGTGTGTTGAGAACAGAGAGGCAGTGAATATCAGTGAAGCTGATGTAATCACAGAGCAGACAGAAGAACCTGAGCTGCTTCTCACATCATGTTGAGGTGAATCTCAGCCTTGTTTTCTGCCGTTTACGTCATCATCTGATGGAGCTGGTCAGCCAGTCGGCACTGTCTGATATAATGCCATACACCTAGATAATACCACGTCGCTTGTTGTAATCGGCTGAACCTGAAGCCAGCCTCAGACAAAAGATCAATGAACCAGCCGGCCGTGCAGGAGCTGCTCGCTGTTTGGTGCCATTTTGATAAACGCCAGGTTTCTCACACATTTAGATAAGATAAGCTAATCCTTGACTGTCATTGTGACACGTACAACAAAATTTTTGAGTGATCTCCAGTTGGCACAGCAACAGAAAAAAAGCATATGAAATAAGACCATATAGAAAAACGAAATAAACAACAAACTTCTCACACACACAGGCATATTATATTTGAGCAGCACTGAGTGTGGTAACTATCATTACCACACCGGCGTGTGGTTTTATTGTGAGGTTGAATACCAGTTACAAGAGCCTGAGATGTGCAGCTACAGTTTAACAGAGCCGAATAGTGTCGGGTTAAAACTTACTCATTTCTCTCCAGGTGAACAACGTGATCGCTTCCATCCACTCCGACGACATAAGAGACCTGGAGAAACAGAGCGCTGTCAGTGTCTTCTGCAAACACAGTGACAAATCTGACACAGTACATTAAGTCCGACACATTAGAAATGTTAAGTGTTTATGTGCTTTTATAGATTTTACAAGGCTACAGACTCGACCAGGAACAGTGGTGCATGAATGAATGAGATCAGTGCAACATAACACAGACAACTTTAGGCAAGGTTATCTGCAAAACTCCAAAAAACTGAACTCCAAGGTCACCTGAGCCTCGAAATCACCTGGCTGTGTGTGCACGTGTGTGTTCGCACTGCAGCGACCAGCAGGTGTGTGATTACTGTAGGGGTGAACACACACACACACACACACACACACACACAGTGCGCCTGTATGAGTGTCTGAGATGAGCCAACAGGAAGTCAGTGGTGGACTACACCACCCAGCTGTCAAATGCAGCTTCCCTGTCCTCCAACACAGCAGGGGTCAAAGGTCAACAGACGAGCTGGGCAGGGAGTCTGGATCCAGCGCTGGCTGCGTCATCGCCTCCTGCTGCTGGAAACTGATTTTGCTTTCCCCGCTGCTCTCATTGGTTCTGAGGAGTTGGCCTGTCTGTCATGGCCTCATCACTGTGCACACTGGTGTAGCACTACCACTGACCCTGCGCTGGTTCCAAGGATTTAGGGATGCAACTAACAATTCTTTGTATTATCAACTCAATTCAACTGTTGTTACAACCTTCATGCTAGGCTAAGCTACCCCGCTGCCAGCTGTAAGGTCACAGTGGCAGCACAGACTATCAGTCTGTGTCATAAATACTTTGGAAAGTGTGACTTCACCCACTGGTGTCCACTGGGGCCAGTCTGAAGGGTTACGGCTAGTGCCACGTTTCCTTCTTGGAGTCAGGACCTTCTGAAGAAGAAGAAGCCTCTGGCCCGCTACCTCACACAGATCTGCACCAGTCCCATTTTCCTCCTGCTGATTTATAAAATGTCGCGTTCCACGCCGCCAAGTTACTGCAGCTACTTGCTAAATGTTCACACACAGTTGTGTCTGATAACAGTACTGTGAATTTCACCTGATGTAGAAAACACTAACAACTAACTCTCAGTAAGAGCAAGAAGACGAGAATGGTACTGAATCGTTTCTATAAAAATTACAACACTGTGTTAAAAACCTGTGATTAATAGTTTGTGTACAGCAGGAGTTAAAGTGTTACACAAAAAGTGTTGTGGACGCTGGACTCGCAGCTGTTATCTGTTATCTGTTGGCTGCAAAAACACCACCCACAGTATCACTTTCACACAGCACACACACACACACACATTCCTCCAGTGTGTCACTGCGTGTGGGACTGTAAGTCTGTTTTTGTGAAACCCAGCTTGAGTTTTAGAACATTTCTGCACTGTGCGGACATGTTGTCTGGTCCTCGCCTTTGGGTTCAGGGTTCACGTTATAACCAGGTTTAGGTCAGGGTTAGGTTGCTGGAAGGGGCTCGGGACGCATTATGTCGATAGGTCCTCACATAGATAGCTGTGTGTGTTGTAGCACAGCGCTGACAGATGGTGTGTGAGAGTGTGAATCAGTCCAAGTTTGTGCATGTTGAACATGATCCAGCATGAAGGCAGGAAGGAAGATGACAACGCACACTCACTCAGTCAGCAGCTTGCAGATTAAAGCCTCCCCCAGCAACACCTCCCGCTGTACGTGTGCTCAGTGTTTTAAGATCACTCTGCTGAGTGAACTGACTTCATCCTGAATGGTTCGGCGCAGCAGGCTCAGCTCCACCTTCTCAGCTAAATCACAACACTGTGCCTCCAACAACACACACACTTCTCCTCAGCTTTTCAGCTGACCAGGTGGAAACTGCAGCGGCTCATGCAGAACGAAGAACAACTTCACTGTCAGTTACAATTTGAGCAGTTCTGCCACCGAGACCTGTTTCCTCTGTTATTCTTCCCTTATTTCAGCCTTCATACATGGTCACCTCGGTTTAGTGCTGTGTGTGTGTTTCATGTGTCGCCTTAAGCTTGTAACAGCGCCATCTTACCGAGGCTGCCTTGAAAAAAGGCAGGAGTTTCACCCTGTGAAATACATGAATAAATATAATAAATAATGACGTGAATAAAGTGTTTGTGTATGTTTATATGTACATGTACTGAGGGTAAGTACATTTAACCTAATAGTGAGTACAGTTTAGAGGTATTTTGTACTTTACTGTTTCCATGTCCTGCTACTTGCACTTCACTACATTTCAGAGGCAAATCTTACACTTGCTGCTGCACAACATTTGATAACTTTAGTTCCTTTACAGAATCAGATTCTTATACAAAATATAATCAACTAATGATGTATTGTTACGGATGAAGCCCCCGGCCGTCTGCAACATTAGTGATGTTTACACACACACACACACACACACACACACACACACACACACACGCTCAGTTGTCAACAGCCCTGTAATGAAGGTGATATTCAGTGCATGTACGTGCACTGTAGTAACCTGGTGACAATACTTCTACAGATTTTAATCATCCAGTGAGTGAAGACACTGCAGCAGACACATGCTCCCTGTCAGAGCACACGCTGTCTGGACTGGACAGACACTCGCGTGCCGGCAGACTTCTGCTGCAGGCCACTTCATGCTAGCTTCACTTTTTTGTTGGACTTTGGTTAGATTTACACAAGGAGGCACCGCTGCATGTGAAGCTCTCGGCCTTTGTGCAGCCGCTCCAGGAGTTTCCCTGTCTGCAGTGCTCTGTCCTGCACATGTGCACCTGTAGGGGGCTGTTTAGAAACATGGTTACATGTAGGCATGGAAAGAAAACTGCTGAATTCTACCTCAGGCTCCTCAAATCCCCCACCCCGATCACAGAAACCAGACTCCTTGTTTACTGCTAAAAAAAAAATAAAAAAATCAGCTGAGTGGAGACAGCGACGACCAAAGTAGCTGCTGCCCCTTGCGGGGCTTCTTCCTCACCTCACTGATCGCTGTGTGTCTGTGGAGCCGTCTGAGCCGGACGCCCATGGCTACGGAGAGCAGCCACACAAAGACATCACCTCCGCCCACAGACAATTTGTGGACTGATGAAGATCTAAACTATGTGAAATCACTCTAACTTTACAGCTTCATGGAAATCAACAGTGACCCTGATCCCGAGTCCTGTGGCACGGCTCACACCAGCAGAAGCCTCTAGCGTTTCTACAGGTCAGAGTCAGTGTAGCCCAGCCTGGTTTCACTGGATTCCAGGTTTTGAACTCCTGAATCCAGGTGATGTCATTAGCAAAGGGATTCATATACAAGCTAAATGCTCTGGACAGAGTGAAGGAAGACAGCAAGGGTGAGGTGAGGTCACAGTGACAGGAAGTGGATCTGACTGGTCAGCTGCTGAGTACAGTATGTCCTCAGCTCAGAGGTCTCACAGCTACCTGGGATTCAAACAATAAAACTGAACAAATAAAACCACAGACTTAAACACTTCATTAGAAAACACTCAATACCTGGTCAGGTGGTCTTCCATCCACACCCCGCCTCAGCCTGCCTCCTATTGGTCGAGGGACAGTCAGCTGATAGGAGGAGAGGTGTTCGGTCTGCTGAGAGTCTGCAAGAGGAAACAGTCAGTCAGTGGGCAGAGCTGAGGAATCTGGAGACTGAAACACACAGGTCTTAACACTCAGCTCTGATCCATGTGTGTCAGGGCCATGTACCCGGCTCCGGTGTGAACACCGCTCAGCTCCTAAACCACCACAAAATAACAACCAGGCGGTGTGTGCGATGGTCAAATGGCCCAGTTTCCTCACAAACTGCTGGGTTACAATATGTTCCTCCCAGTTTGGCCTGATCAGAAGCTTCTCCATAAACATCCACCACATGTGAAACACCCTGGTCTCTCCACTGACCCCGTCGCTGTCGTCGATCTGCTCCATGTTTATTGTTACCGGTCTGTGAGGGGCAGATGCCAAATGATGACGACAGGCCGTATGTGCAGAGGAGGAGACGTTAAAATGACCACATGGATTCTGATCTGACCGTTCTGACGGCGTTCACACAGTCAGAGGTCGGAGAGGAATTGGATCTAGGAGCACATATTAAGAGGAAAAGGGAGCAGTTGGTTTCTCTCTGCTAATACACTCACAAAATAATTTATTGTGCAGCCCTAGCACGATCTGATTTGGTAAATGGTCTTACACTTACATAGTGCTTGTCTATGCAATGAAGCACACTCTAAACACTTTACACTATTTAACATTCATCCATCCCAGGAGCAACGTCAGGTTCAGCGCCACTTCTACATGTGGTCTGGAGAAGCTGGGAGTCGAACCCAGTTCTCCGATTAGGGGACGACCCGCTCTACCTCCTGAGCCACAGCTGGCCCACACTGCTGTGGAACCATCAGGGCTCAGTCACTGGGATGGAAATGTTCAAAAATCACAGACTGCATTCTTTGAGTCACATTTAAATGGACTGTTCAACATTTTGAGAAAAGAGATATGAATGATATGATATATGAATCACATCTGGGCAGTGCTGCTCATCTGTACTGTCACTCCCATGACAAACTATTTCATCTGTTTCTTCCATTAAAGGGAGTTTTTCCTCCCCACTGTCGCCAAGCGCTGCTCAGAGGGATTTGCAGGGGTTTTCCTCTATAATAATACTAATAGTAGTAGCAAGGTGTAGACCTCACTTTGTAAAGTGTCCTGAGATGACTTTTACACCACACAAATAAAATGAACTGAATTTTTATGTTTTTCACACCTCCACCCCCGCTGACTATTAAACCTCCACCCACTGATTCACATCCTCTCCCTAGCTCCTTCTTCCTACTTTGTCTCTCTGCTCAACTTTCAGTTCTTCATGTCACCTCATTTTACTCTGAGGCATGACAATGCTCTCGGACCAGGAACCAGCAACCTGCTGGACAAAGCACGGAAACACCAGCTCAGTGTCGATGATGCTCAGCCTATTACTGTGATCAAAACCAACATGAAGAAGACACCAAAATATGGGTCTGATAAAATGTTGATGCTGAAATGAAGACCTCAGGAGATTTTATTTAAGGCCTAAATCTGCAGCTGTGTGTATCAGCACATTACTTGTTGTCACATTCCTACTAATTAGGAGATACTGATCCCACAACTCAGCCTATACATACGTCTGTATCTGTTCTCATAAAGCTCATCTCTTCAGCTGCAGTTGGTTCGGATCTGTTGATGCTAAGAAGAATCAGGAATAACAGCAGACCGGTGCTTTAAGGGCGAACATTCCCGGATCTTTTCTGGGTGGGAGTGAACGTGTAAAAGAAGATTTCGTGTGTAAGAGCTGAAGGGTCATGTCCAGGAAAACCAGTAAATCATTGTTCAGGGAAAGTGGAATCAACTCTGTGTTGATCAAGTTTAGTTCAGTACCATCATGAGGACATTTCTAGATGATGCATTATGTCAATGAATGTCCCCACAAAGATAGTCGAACAAATGTGTGTGTTGAAAGCAGGTGCTGGTTTCTGTAAATGACCCAGATTCATTCAGACGCTGCGTTTCTGTCAGCACACACTCGACGCACACTTGCAGTGAGACTCAAGTGTTAAACCACGTTTACTTCATGTCATGTCAGAGCCGAAGGACTCAGCACTGAGCCCGGGAGAGGCTGACGACGCTAAGCTGCTTAATGCAAACACACAGTTTGGACATGTACAGTATACGCACATCCTGAAAACACATACACACTATCTGAAACTGGTGGCTTAGCAGCCTGTGAATAAACAAACCAACAGATCAATACCTATTGATAAGTATAAACCACTAAAGAGCTTGAAGTCAGTTTGATTCTCAGAGACAAAACAAACATCTGCCCACAAACACATCATCCAAACCAACTAATGTAAAGTTTGGATGTATTTATTTGTAAAACAGTTTGTTTTACAAATAAATACATCCAAACTTTCATAAATGTCACTGCTTTACATGCAGTGGTCAGTTTATTAGGGACATCCAATAGTCCTGCAATAAACCAAATATGTAAAGACAAGAATACCTGTTAGTTCTTTCTAATTTAATTAGAGGATAAACCCCCTGACATATATCCTCTTGTTTTCACAGTCCAAGGTGATATCTTAAGATGTTTTATTTTGGCCAAAACATAAACAAATTAGATTAGATTAGATTCAACTTTATTGTCATTACACATGTACAAGTACAAGGGAGAGGCAACAGTGCAGTGCATCTCCCAACCAGAAGGTTGAAGGTTCAAATCTCAGTGCCTGCAGTCCACATGTCAAAGTGTCCTTGGGCAAGACACTGAACCCTCCCAAGTTGCCCCTGATGGTTAGAGCCATCGGTTGAGGTGGCGCCACAGATGGCTGCCTCATTTCTGTACCGGAAACAAATTCCTTGTGTGTGACATACTTGGCCAGTAAAGGTGATTATCCTCATTATTATCCAACGAAATACAGTTTGTTGTTGTGAGATACAACAAGTGTCAAACTGTCCAATTTAAGAAAGTGGAAACAGCAAACTTTCTGGCCTTTTGCACAGGAAATGACTGAAACAATTATTAAAATAGGTGCAGATTTATTTTCTGTTGCTCGACTAATTGATTATCCAAGTAATAATTGCTGCCCTGTGTGAGGCCTGGCTTTTTCCCTAAATGTCTGTGCAGATTCTCAGACCACCGAGGGGGATAAATATCTCCGGCTCAACACCAGTCAGTCAGAACTGATGAAGCCTCTTGGATGAGAGGTGAAACGTCTTCGATCTAGAAATTAGGGGCTATTAGCTGGTGGACAGAATACAGAATCACTGGCTGTGCCCTTAAAACCTGCATTCAATAAAGCAACACTTCACTGGGCTATTACACTTACATAACAGCGGTGGACTTGCAAAGTAAACAGTCTGTTTGATCACTAGCAAGTGTCAAACACCAAAATCTGTCCATCCTACATTTCCCATAATGCAAGTAGATAGTATTTATTTGTTTGCGGAGAGCTAGAGTCATGACGTCATGTCCAAGTTAGCTTCCATTGCTTTCAGTAGATCAATGCAAACTCATTCAGTATTTCAATGCCATAAAACCAAATGTGTTCATCTGGACTTCTTTCATATTCTCAGACCCCCACCCTCATCCTCACTGTACTCATCTTCCTCACCTCTGCAGACAGAGTTCCCGTTCAGCAGCAGCAGCAGACAGCAGACCTCCAGCAGCTCCACTCTCCCTCCCATCTTCTTCTTCTTCTTCTGGAAAAATAAATGTCACCGGGTAGCTCTCACGTACACCGTCCCCCTGATCTGTTTCTTCTTTTTACTATTCCTGCAGTTTATGTTGTTACACTTGTCTTCCAGCCGTCTCCCCCCGCTGAGCCTCATACTAAACACCCAGCAGCGGTTTTCTTCCTGAGCTCGGGCGAGCCATTCCAGGCGGGACGACGTTAGCCGCTAGCTAACAATTGTAGCTAACAGTCGGCTCTATGTCTCCCGCGAACGTTTCCCTTGTTAAGTCAGTTCGTTAAAACACAAACTAATTGTGCGTTTCTCTGTCTACTTAATGTGCATCCTCTTCATGTGGAGCAGATATTTCTCTCCCTATAAACTCCACTGGGACCTAAGTAAGCGGAACTGTTCAATGATTTCTGTGTAACATTTCAAATTAAGAGCACTCCTTCCTATATACTGATGTCGCAGTAGGTGAAAGTGGTGGGAGAGGTGCTCAGATCATTTACGAAAAATTAGAAATAGCATTGTAAAAATACATTTACGAGCAAAGGTCATACTTTCAAATTGTTATTTAACTAATACAAAGTATTAGCATCAAAATATAGTTTTAAGTAGCAAAGTTAAAAGCGGTTATTATGCAGAACGGCACATTTCACATTAATGGGTATTATTAGAATATATTGTAAGGTAGGCTAGCTTGAAGAAGCCAGAGACAAGAGCTTTTATTTACACACACACACATTCTCATATGTCGACTGCCCTCACTCTCAGTACCGGCTCCCCACAGGGCTGTGTGCTGAGTCCCCTGCTTTATACCCTATATACACAAGACTGTACCTCTACCCACCCCAGCAACACCATCATTAAGTTCGCTGATGACACCACTGTCGTGGGGCTTATCTCCGGGAATGATGAGTCCGCGTACCGGGATGAGGTAGAGTGGCTTTCTGGCTGGTGTCGGGAAAACAACCTGATCCTCAACACCGCCAAGACCAAGGAACTGGTGGTGGACTTTAGGAGGAATAAAACAGACATTAAGCCACTGTTCATTGATGGAGTCCAGGTGGAGAGGGTGGCCGCTTTTGGGTTCCTGGGCGTCATCTTTGAGCAGCACCTGACTTGGGGCGCTAATACCATTGCTTTGGTAAAGAAGGCCCAGCAGAGATTGTATTTTCTCAGTCTTTTGAAGAGAAACAATCTGAATGAGAAACTGCTGGTGTCCTTCTACCGCTGCACGATAGAGAGCATTTTAACATACTGTGTCTGTGCCTGGTTTGCCAGTTGCACAGCTGCAGACAGGAGAGCGCTCCAGAGAGTTATCACCAGAGCTCAGAAGATCATCGGCTGCCCCCTACCATCTCTGGAAGAACTGTACAGTTCCCGTTGCTTGAAAAAAGCACAAAACATTTTGCAGGACCCATCACACCCTGAACATTGTCTGTTTGAGCTGCTGCCTTCGGGGAGAAGATACAGAACAATTAAAGCAAGGACAAACCGATTAAGGAATAGCTTCTATCCGAGAGCTATTGTTGCTTTAAATGCTGCTAAAATCTGAATGATAGATGGGTTTATTTATTTCGTGTGATTTTAAGGGAGCCGTGCAATAGTCGGATGTGTATGGATGTGAGTGTGTAATTTATGATTATTTTATTATCGAAGGACTGCATTTTAATTTCGTTGTACAATGTACAATGACAATAAAGATATAACAATTCTCTCTCCTGACCTTGAACTTTAAAGCCTGCTGTCTCAGGTCAGGGTTGTCTCCTTCAGTCTCTTCTCAGATTAAATCATCTGCTATTTTTCCCCAGATGGACTTTATAAAGTCAAGTGATTCCTTTCTTTTAATGATTTTGAGATTGCAATCCATGCGCTTATCACTTCTAGACTTGATTATTGCAATACTCTATACCTAGGTGTTAACCAGTCCTCCCTCTCTCGTCTTCAGATGGTTCAAAATGCTGCTGCTCGTCTTTTGACAAGTACCAGAAAATTTGAGCATATAACCCCGGTACTAGCTTCCAGTCTGTTTTAGAATTGATTTTAATTTATTGATTTTTGTTTTTAAGGCTCTTAATGGTTTGGCACCATCTTACCTCACTGAATTAGTGCATTGGCACAAGCCTACAAGGTCCCTCAGATCTTAAATACTGGGGTGACCGTGCTTTTACTGTTGCAGCCCCTAAATTGTGGAATAGTCTACCTTTTAATGTTAGGTCAGCTACTGACCCTAGTACTTTTAAATCATTGCTTAAAACATATTTATTTCGCTTGGCTTTTAATACATGCATTCCTTTTAATCTAATTTATTGAATGTGGGTCATCTGTGTGTCTGAGTTATTGTTTTATTATTGCACTGAATCTATTTTATTTTAGTTATTTATCATGATTTTATTATGTCTATGTAAAGTACTTTGGTCAACTGGATGTTGTTTTTAAAGTGCTATATAAATAAATTTGATTTGATTTATAGGACATTACATGTGTATTATGAGTTTTGTTTGCAGGTTTAAATAGGTTTTTTCTCTGACTACAGGTCCACGGACCATTGGATTTACAAGTTTCACATTGTGTCCTTTAAAAAAAACGAAATCATCAGTTTCTGTGTTGTAAGATTTGAGTCTTATAGACTCTAGTTACTTTATCAGCTTTAGTTACTACTCATACCTGTAGTTCCTTTTAGTTACCTTTCATAACTTTATCTTACTTGTTTATGCATATTACAGCTGTATTGATGATTGTCCAGAACTACTGAGCTTTGGTTATTTTAATGCATTTGTTTCCCTTGCTTATATATCTTACAGCTGTAATGAAGCAGAATCTGCTTACTTTGAATGTTGTAACTTCTGTGTAGAGACTAGATGTCTGCATCTCTGTGTGACCAGACAGCCAATTCACATTTTAACAAAGACAAGTTGGCACACACACACACACAGACACCCAATGTAGATCGCATTCCAGCAAGGAGGTGTGATGCTCCGGCCCACCTGCGATCAGACATCCAGCAAACCCCCTGCTGATTTCAAACAGTCCTCCCCTGTCGTCACTTCTCGTGCTTCCAACAAAAGAACTGGTTAATTTCTAACAGTGTGAAGTGACCTTTTTAACATTATGATGTACCAGTGTCTGCTATGCTGACATCCACAATACCTAAAGATATCAAAACATGCAGTGCAGTAAAAATTTCAAAGTTAGACTCTGAAATGTAATGAAGTCCAAATATGAAGTAGCAGAAAACAGAAATACAACAGTACAGTACTTAGTACATTTACTTGGTTACTTCCCACTACTGCTGAAAACTATTAAAACCATATACAAAAAATACCTAAATAAATACAAAATTAAACTGTCCCATGCAATAAAAAGAAATGCAAATGCATAACCTGAGATTTAACAGCCAACTTTGCTGTGCAGACCCCGAGCAGGTAAATATTGTGTACAGTGTGTTCAGTCTGTAGACAACAGGTAGGAACATACAAATATGTAGGACATGAATGACCCCAATAAAATAAAGAGAACACTTTTTAATGTACATGTTATGCTTTTTGTATGCAAAACATACATGATATATGGTACTTTGTCATCATAAATACACTCAGAGGCCAAATGAAAGAAAGTTCATTGGTTTCAGTTTTAGAGATTTTTATTTTCAAAGGAAAATAAAACATTTTAGAGTTGCAGATTCTCAAGTGTGAAGAATTGCTGTGTCTTTTATTTTCATGATTTTCTTTTTTAACTTTAAACCAACCATTTTCATTGATTATATGCCAAACAATCAATTGATTGAAAAAGTAATCAGTAATCCTAAAACATAATCAATAGCTGCAGTCCCATATAGATGCTTTACATCTCAGGGCTTCACTTGCACTTCTATTTTGAAGTCAACTTTGTTCAACCGGAAGTCTTTGTTTAAATGTTTCTGTTGAAGTTTATGTCACTTGGCTAAAATTTAACCAGTGATGCGTTCTCTGAATTTACACTTTCAATCTGAAAACCATTTTTTAAAACATTTGTTTTAGGAACAGCAAAGTCACAATTACATTACTGTGTTAACTGTGTTTAACACTTACAAACTACAACATCAATAAATAAAGGCCTGTTCCTAAAAACTAGGGGATAGTTCATGAGCTGAAAAAACTGAAAAATCAACTGGCCTAGATTTCTAGGTTGAAGACGTTTCACCTCTCATCCAAGAGGCTTACTATGACCTGGATGACTGAGAATTTGCACAGACATGATAGTTCATGAAGATACTATGTCTGCATTATGCCAGTTAAAATGTGGGGTTTCTCAGTTACCCGCTTTGTTTAGAGTGTTACACATCTCGTTTTTAGGAAGAGGCTCTTTGGTTTTATCATTCTGAAATAATTACAGACTCTTTGGAGTTATGAAGGGAGCAAAGCAAATCTATACATAGACAAAATTAAACATTTAATGGCTGGCAACAAGCAAAATGAGCAGCGATGAGCTGTTTAACCAGCTGAATTACTACACAACAAATACCTTTTCAAACTGTTTAAATACTAAAACATTATCAGCAGCAACAAATTTTTTTTTTTTGCTAAGGTTTGTATTTGATCAAGCTGTTGTTACTGTGTCAAAGATGAGGAACAACACGGGTGATATTTTTGATTGATATTTTCAAATGTCAATACTTGAAAACCCCCAAATTATTTACTGGACCATTCAATGAATCATTTTTCTGGAAAATCACTCCTGCATCTTAGCTGAAAGGATTTGTGCTTTTCTGTTTTATATCACTGTAAACTGTCCATCTTTGGTATTTGGCTGGTTGGTCAGAATAGACAAGACGTCACCTCAGACTCTGGGAAACCGTAACAGACATTTTTCACATTTTCCTGATGTTTTGTCTCCAAAACAATATTTGTATAAAAGATCATCAGCAGATTAACTGAGGGCAAGTGAACTGATCCATTCTCTCCTACTCTCAGCCTAGCTCAAGTTCACTGGTCAATCCCTCAAAAGTAAACGTAATCTTCTCCTCTTTCTGTTCCTCCTCTTCTACCTCCTCCTTGCCATCCTCTTCTTCTAACTCCTACTCGCCCTCCTCTTATTCTAACTCCTACTCGCCCTCCTCTACTTCTAGCTCCTACTCGCCCTCCTCTTCTTCTACACCCAACTCGCCCTCCTTTTCTTCTACCTCCTCCTCGCCCTGTATTTAATGTTTCTCCATGCGTGCCTTCCAACTGAAGCTCACTGCGAACTGAGCTACTGAAATTAAAGGTAATTTCCTCCTCTTTCTGTTCCTCCTCGCCCTCCTCTTCTTCTACCTCCTCCTCGCACTCCTCTTCTTCTTCTACCTCCTCCTCACCTTCCTTTTCTTCTACCTCCTCCTTGCCCTCCTCTTCTATCTCGTCCTTACCCTCGTCTTCTTCTACCTCCTCCTCACCCTCCTCTTCTTCTACCTCCTCCTTGCCCTCCTCTTCTTCTACCTCCTCCTCGTACTCTTCTTCGACCTCATCCTTGCCCTTCCCTTCTTTGACCTCCTCCTCGCCCCCCTCTTCTATCTCCTCCTTACCCTCTTCTTCTACCGCCTCCTTGCCCTCCTCCTCACCCTCCTCTTCTTCGACCTCTTCCTTGCCCTCCTCTTCTTCGACCTCCTCCTTGCCCCCCTCTTCTATCACCTCCTTACCCTCCTCTTCTTCTACCTCCTCCTCGCACTCTTCTTCTTCGACCTCGTCCTTGCCTTTCTCTTCTTTGACCTCCTCCTCGCCCACCTCTTCTATCTCCTCCTTACCCCCCTCTTCTTCTACCTCTTCCTCGCCCTCCTCTTCTTCTGCCTCCTCACACTCCTCTTCTTCTACCTCATCCATGCTCTCTGTGTTTAATATTTCTTTGTTGGTCTCATCCAACTGAAGCTCACTGTGAGTTGAGCTACTGATGTCCACCTTTTCAGCTTCATCAGAATGCATCTCTGAAATGTCACCATCTTCATCACCTTCATCCTCATCAACCATGTCCTCATTGTGGTTCCCTAAGTCTTTGATGATGAGCTGGAGGAGGGATCGGCGTGAGGCCACAGACACGTTTCCTCCAATACTCTTTCTTGACCGGAGAGGGGTTGACGGCACTGATTTAGGTGTGGAGGTCCCAAGCATGTGGGAAGAGGTGTCAAGTTGCTGCTTGCCGCCAACATCATCATCTTCACTGTCATAAATCACTGAAGCTCGCTTCTTCTTGACAACTACAATGGAATCATTCATTGACTCAGCAATTTCAGAAGCCTGGCCATTGGTGAGACTTTGTCTGAGTGCTTCTTCATGCTGCCTCTCAGAAAGGGATTTATTTATGTCAAAACTCCCCTCCATCCGCAGCTGTGACAGCAGCTTCCTCTCCTCGGCTTCAGTCTCCTGATGATCTTGAATATCGTGGTCTGGGAATATGTCGCTGTCCTCCAGTTGTAAATTGAAGTTGCCCTCAAATGATTCAACCCCAGCGCTGACTCTGGATGATGTGTCTGATTTGAAGCTTGAATTGGATGCTCGCAAGACAGACAGTCTTTTGTTCTGCAGGGGGGTGATACGAGACTGAGTCAAGTCCATCTTAGAGTCATAGCATTTAGAGTGTGAATTTCCACTTATCTGTTGTTCATGTTCATCAGGTGCTGTAATGTTCGCCGGGCTGCCCTCACCTGCTGATGCAACTGCAACCTCAGACATTGTTGATTGGTACATTGATTGGTCTGCCATATCACCTGCTGCAGCATCAGTGGCCTCCAACTTCAAGGACTCCTCAATCAC